TCCGTCCCGCAAAGTTGCGGGTCGGACTTGTCCGACCCGCACAATTGCAGGTCGGACCAATCCGACCCGCGCTTGCGCGGGTCGGACTGATCCGACCCGCGATTGCGCGGGTCGGTTTGTTCCGTCCTGCGTTCGCGCAGTTTTGTCGACTTTTTCTTTTTATGTTCTATTTCTTCCGAGACTTGTTCTTTTCGCGTGTTTGGTCGATTTGTTGACTTGTATGCTTCGCCGCGAGACCGATCATCGAACGCGCGTTGCTTGTTGATCGATACGTGTTGACTGATCGGCGTGCGCGTGTTGACAGACGCGCACGAGCTGACCGATGCGCACGAGATGATTTAACATGCGCTAACTGATTAGCGAATTTTCTTGACTCGCCTATTCATTGCTTCGAGTTTCATGCGGGCTCTCGTAGGCAATTTTAGACGCCTACAGATACCCCCTCCAAAGTGTTTCAGCCTCATTCTTTTATAGAGGAGTCTGAAACGCTTTGGATATGATGGGTCCCCACCTTCAGTCAGTGTTAAGGGATCTACAGATGATTTCGATTCTTGACTTCTCCATATCTTAGCATATTCTGTGTTTTATCAAATAGCTAAGATTTTCCCGGTACTGCGTTTATCGTCTGACCGTTATTGAAGCCTTGAACCGAATTTGGTGTGGTATCAAATGCTTTCCTTATGTCTATATTTATCATGACCCTTGGAGATATGTGTTTCCGGCCATAATTTTTCACCAATTCATGGGCTAAAAGGATATTACTGGCTATATTTCTTCCTTTGACAAAAGCACTCTGGGCATTGCTAATCAGATACCCCATCACTGATTGAATTCTAGTTGCCAGAATTTTTGATATCACTTTATAAAGACAGTTACAGCAAGAAATTGGCCGGAAGTCAGCAGGAGTGTTTGGGCAATGTACCTTGGGTATAAGTGTGATGGATGTAGAGTTGATAGCTCCCAATAGTTTGCCATTTTGGAAAAATTCTTGAATAGCATGAGTGACTTCATCTCCTATCACGTTCCAGGAAGATTTGAAGAAAGAAGATCCATATCCATCAGGGCCTGGGGACTTGTTGTCTGGGATGGAAAACACTGCCTTCCTTATCTCTTCATTTGATATAGGTGCAGATAATAGTCTGATGTGATTTTCATCCAGACATGGACCATTCTGAATAATTTCAGTGCTTGGATCAGATGTTGGGATGGCTGTGCCCATGAGATTTTTATAGTAAGAAATGATTTCCTTAACAATTTCCTCTTCCTCTGTGATTTTCCTTCCCAGGCTGTTGTTTAGAACTAGGACCCTGTTATGATGCCTGTTGGATTTGATAATTGAGTGGAAATAGCTTATGTTTCTATCTCCCTTAACACTCCATTGGATTTTTGCTTTTTGCTGTAGAAAAGAGATTTCACAATTCAGGAGTTTGTTGTATACTGACAGGCTTTCTTTTTCCTGACTAATGAGAGCTTGATTGAAAGGATCAATTTGGAGCTTTTGCTGGACCTCCTCTAGTGCATTCTTTGCTCTACAGACCTGTTCACTTATATTTCCAAAGTGATTTCTGTTAAGGTCTTTCAGAACCTCCCTTAGATTTTTGAGCTTGAGAAAAACTGAGTACATCTTGCAACCTTTTACTTGTTTTTGCCAAATTGAAGATACTGTAGGCAAGTAATTGCTATGTTTAGTCCACATTTTGAAGAACCTGAAGGGTTTCTTGCCATGTCTATCCTCTTCATAAATTGATATTAAAGCTGGGCAGTGATCAGATAAGCTTGGGGACATATACTCAACGTGACTAGAATTGTAATTCTGAATCCATGTGCTATTCACAAGAGTCCTGTCTAGTCTACACCAGACCCTAGTGCCACAATCTTGTTTGTTTGACCATGTTAAGAAATTCCCTACAGTTTTGAGATGCAGGAGATGACAATCCTCTATAAAAGTATTGAAGTCCCTTGTATCTGTATCTGTGAGCTTGATTCCCCCAATTTTCTCTTCATCATTAATCATAGTATTAAAGTCCCCACTGAGAATCCAAGGCACATTACCAATGGATTGTTGAATATGGTAGAGTTCTGTCCATAG